TCCACACCGCACCGGCATCGCCTCGGCCATCAATAGCGCTTGGTTAATTAATTTGATGGGAACAGCAGGGACCGCACTTTGCATTTAGTGAACTTCCGAGAACTTCCAACCTCATCTTCATAATTGGCCTCATAAATTTGAGGAAAGAGAGACAACCTCTTTGAGTCCTACCAAGTACCTGTAGATTCAAATGCAAGGCAGACAATATATTGTATGCTTATAAACAATAGCAACATTAAGTGGCAACTTAACAGCACTAAAGCGCCAATTTTATTTAATTTTATTGCACAGATCCATCTTCGGCCGCCCCCTCCCTGCCTGGCCCTCTCTCTCCCGCTCTCCCTGCTGGGTTCACCTAATCATGATAAATTCATATTCATTTCCCTGCCTGCTCCGGCGGGGGGAGCAGCTCCCTCACATTCGCCCGGCTGTGCTGCCATTAGCAAGTATTTACTCATCAGTACCAAGGGCCAGTGTTGAGAGACAAACCACCCCCTCTGCACCCTTTTTTCCCCTCCCACCCCTGCCCGAGGACAAGCATGATGGCTAAGGATAGGTGCCCCCCGAGGGTAGGGAGCAGGGTGGGAAGAGCTGCCTAACACTCAGAGCTGCAGCAACTTGGTCCAGACTTTTACCCTGGGGGGCAGAGAGACGCTTGATGGGGGGGACAGGAATTGCCTGAAGCCCCAGTCTGGACCCATCTTGAGGGTGCAGGGATGGTGGAGAGGGAGGGAGGGGCTCTGCAGCAGGAGCTGGGTGCCTGTCCTGGCTCCCTGACTTCCCACTCAGTCTCTAAGTGCTGCTGCATTTGGGTTTATTTTTAATTTTCAGGATGATCAGACTCACAGCCAGGGAGTGAGGGGAGGGGGGTACTGGGGAGGGGGATAGCTGAAGCCCTTTTCTGGGAAGCAGGAACCAGGCAACACCTCATTAGAGATGCCTAAAACCATCTTTGCTCACCTGCATCCACCCTAAGGCCTCAGCACCCACCTCCTCCCAGGCACCCCAGGAGCCCCATCCCTGTACCTTCTTTACACATATGTCATCCTAAGGTTTAGCAGAAGTAGGTGGTGTGCTGGGATAAAGGGGTAGCCAGGTCCTGCCCTGCTGCAAGGGCAGAAGACGGGTCTCAGAGGAACATGAGGCCTAAGGGGATGCCAGGCTAGAAGTAGCCCCTGAGCTGGGGTCTGCAAGCAACTGTGAGGATAGAGATCAGGATTAGGGGCATGAAGAGGAGACTCTGTGGGCCAGCACTGTCCTCTCTGTCCAGGGCAGCAGGGACTGCCCAGCCCGGGTCTGACTCCCAGTAGGCAGCACAGTCCAGACTCCTGTGTTTCTCTCCTTGCACCAGAAGGGAGAACTGGGATCCTTCAGCATCCAGAACGTCACCTCCAGCTGCTGGATGAGCTTCTTGTGTTCCTTCACCTCCTCCCCCTTTGCACCCACCCCAGCTGCATGCAGAGGAGATGGCCCCTGCCCATCCTTGGCCCACCTCGGGGCAGCTGGCCACAGGAGGGCCCTCCGACTCTGCAAACTTGGGCAGGGATTTGCAGGGTCAGAGGGACAAGCAGACATCAGGCCCCTTCAGTCACAGAACAGAGGACTGGCAGGACATCTCCGCCAGCATCCTCCACGATAGGTATGCAGCAGGGCCACCCTCACTGCCATTTTGTGAGGGGTCGGGTGAGCAGTCCTGCTTCCGAGCAGCCCTGGCCCCACGCATCCCTGTGTATGACCCCCCACCCCTCAGCAAAAGCAGCACTAACAGCAGGGCCAGGGCTTTGATGCACTTCCACAGCACCCATTTGGCACCAGGGTGTGAATTGTGTCCCTGGAGGAAGGGGTGACAAAGGGCAAGGAGGTGGGGGCCAGCAGTGTCACATCTCTCCCACCTCCAGCAATGCCTTCAGGACATGGACCTGGAGAGAGAAGCAGCCCCAGCCCTCCAGGAAGAGCTCGCCCTGGCATCCAGAGCTGGAGGCAAGCCTGTGTTCATCAAGGGGCCAAGGTGAGCAGCCCCATGCTCTGTTCCTTGCCTCAGCCCAGGCAGAAATTGGACCATGCCCAGGGCTGCCAGCCATAAGGTTCTAGAAAAAAATCCTTCAGGATCATCCCAGCAGCACAGGAGGGAGACAAAGCCCCCATCCAAGCTCCCTTTGGGGCAGGACTATCCCCAGCCCTGGACAAAGCCAGCTGTAGCCCCACCTAGCCAAGCCTGGCTGACCTCAAGGGTGGGCCCACTCTCCTCTCTGGGGCTGGTCCCTGAGTCCATAGCCCTCCTGGAGACAGAGTGCTGCACCCCATGAAACTCCCAGGCCCTGACTCCTTTGTTCCTAGACCACCCAGTCCGGCCCTCGCTGGCTCTGCCCCAGCCTCTGTCTGCCCCAGCAGCTCCTGTCCCTCTCCAGCTTCTCCATCGACGTTTTGAGCCAACGGTTCTTGCTGCTCATCTCTACAACTCTCTACAACTACCTGAAAGGATGTTGTAGAGAGGTGGGTGCTTGTCTCATCTCACAAGTAACAGGTGATAGGACAAGTGGAAATGGCCTTAAATTGTGCCAGGGGAAGTTTAAGTCAGGTATCAGGAAAAATTTCTTTGCTGAAAGGGTTCTCAAGCATTGGAACAGGGTCCCCAGGGCTGTGGTTGAATCACCATCCCTGGATGTGTTTAAAAGCTGCTTAGATGTGGTGCTTAAGGACATGGTTTAGCAGTGCACTTGGTAGGTTTCGGTGGATGGTTGGACTTGATCTTGAATGTCTTTTCCAATCTAAACCATTTTATGGTCTCCATGTGCTCCCTTGGTTTCCAGGCTGTTCAGATCCTCCTTGGACAACTAAAGCATTTGCATGCTCAGGAGACTGAGCCATGTTCCAGGCACAGGAGACGGAGCAGCAGCCAACTCCCATATACCCTGCTCTTTGATGAAATATGGAAAAGCTGACAGCAATTCCTTCCAGACTTCATGCACAATGAGCTCAGCCCAAGGCTTAGAGCTCAGGAATTGCTCCTCTCTCTGGGCACACCCAGAAGCCACTAAGCCACGTGGCCAGCTGGATGCCGACACAGAGCCAGGTCCCACTCTGCCATGGGAGGATGGTGGCCAGCAACTCCCTGTCCTGAAAGCCAGAAGTGGTGATCCAGCAGCATGAAGGTCTCTACTGCCTTGACCCTGCCTGTAGTGAAAACAGGGAGACAGACCAGCACAGGAGGGACTCCTGGTCAGCCAGAGGGGAGACCAGTCTGCAGGGCAGAGAGCAAAAAGGCAGAGATGCAAAGGAAAAAGAGAGAAAGGATTTATTATACTTCAAAGGCCCAAGACATGCCAGAAGACATTCAATTCCATTAGGTGTGCAGTAGAAATGCTGGGGTGACAACACTGCTGGGGTCAAGGTGTCCCCAGCAAACTCCCCAGCACTACTCCTGCTGCCCAGCAGCCACGGTTGACACTGCAGCAGTGAACTGTGCAAACCCACCAGGTTCAACGCCCTTGTGCCTGCCCTGGCAGCAAACACGCCACTTGTAAAAGACACAGCAGAGTGCAGAGCAGAGGTGGCCAGGTGCCCCCAGGACAAGGGAGCAGAACACCAGGCCAGGCCCAGAGAATGGCCAGCAAGAGCCCCGAGGTCCTGGCACAGAAACGCTCACCACAGTGCTCCTGGGAACCGACGCTGCAGAGCAGCACCTCTGCCAGGAGGAACCACTGAAACACCCGTAACGGAGACAGAGCACTGCCAGTCTCTGGGACACTCAGCTCCAGAATATAAACATAGTTGAGGTTTCTGTGAAATAAAATTCACTCCCCTGGAACTGACAGGGCCAGCCCCATGTACCCGTATACTCAAATACACACACGCTCTCTGGTCAGGGACCAGATGACTCCACAGCTTCCACACATACAAAATGAGAAAGCTTTGCTTTGCCCAAACTAAACTACCTCCTTCCGTTTCTGCACCTCCTGTGCACAACCCCTCCCCTGCTGGGTTACATTCAGTGCTGTTACCTTCAAACCCTCCTAAGCACAGCTCCCTGAGCGAAAGGAGCCCTTGGGGCCATGCTGTGGGGCTCACAGCTCCACACTGGAGGATCCTCGGTCACAGCAAGCCGAGAGCAAGCAGGCAGGTTACACTGAGTCCCTGAGCCTCCTCCAAGCTTTACCTGACACCAGGAGAAGCTGGGGCAGTCACAGCAGCCCGACCCCGTGCAGTGAGACCCACCAGAGGACACAAGTTAGCTCAGACAGAGGAAGGACATAGCAGCAACACAGGTGGATCCTTCATGATTCTGGCAGTAGCAGCTGCCAGCAGCAGTGAGGAAAAGGTCTGTTCCAGGGCCCAGGCAGACCCCTGCTGCCCTTGTGCATAGCTCAGGACAGAGATTTTGGGGTGTCTGTGCTCAGACACAGAGGAAGATGCAACCCACCTTCCCCTGTTCCAAATCACTGGGAGGGGCTGAACCACAAGGCTCTGCAGCCCAGCCTTCTCGAGCCTCCCTGGAGAGAGCCGGGCCAGGGTAGATGATGGGCAGCAAGTCCTTTTTGTAGCCAGGGGCTGCCGGCAGCACCAGGCAGCACTTCCAGCACGGGTCCAGCCTCTGCTGGGTGTTGCCACACAGCTCTGCCAGCAGCACAGTCCCCGGTTTGCTGGGGTATGCTCTGCAATCTGCAGTGACCGCCAGGCAGCACCGGGGCAACCAGCACCCTTCCAAACGTCAGCAGGGCAGTGCAGCGGGCCGAGGGCGCTGGGTGACAACCAAGCGTCACCAGTCCCGTTCTGGGGGCTCCCGGTAAGGCAGCCCCAGCTGAACGAAGACATCTCTCTCGGTGGGGGTGGGCAGAGTACGGCCAGATGCCACCTTGACGCCCCCCGGGCCCCGCACGACGGCCGAGCTGAGGGCGTGCTCCGAGAGGCTCATGCCCTTGGTCTTGGCCAGGGCCCGCATGGAGCGGTTGAAGTGCGCGGAGCCCGTGAAGTAGAGCAGGGCGCAGGCGAACTCCCGGTACGGCACCACGATAATGTCCAGCCGGCGGTGACGCCGGGCTGGCCCGGGCAGGCGGCACACCCCCAGGTACTTCTTCTGCTCGCCGTTGTCCTCCTGACTCACCAAGTCGTCCGTGAGGAAGCCTGAGGAGAAGGAACAGGCAGAGAGGCGCTGAAGGGTAGAGATTGGCACCCCCACCCCGAACTCCCCCCTTGGCGGCCAGCAGCTGAGGGGGCCGGGGGGCTCAAAAAGGGACCCCCCCGCCTCAGCCCCGCCATCCTCAGGCCGGCAGAAGCAGCTGTGCTGAGCTGCAGCAGCACTCCCTGCTTGACACTGGCAGTGGAGCTGCCACTGAAGCAGGACCTGGACCAGGGGCAGTGCTCTTAAGGACTTAAAAGATGTCCTGTCCTTGGGAAAAGCCGCCACCTGCCCTTCAGTGAATGCCTTGCACCTCGCTGCCTCCTGGGCTTGGCCACACGATGAAGAGCTTTGAGCACCACGTGCCTGCCCACAGCCCTCTTACCGCTCCTGCGGAGGCTGTCAAGCAGCTTGCTGAACACCCCACGGTGAGACTGCCCGTCTGGGTGAGTGACCAGCACGTCCACGTCTCCACAGGTGGGCTTCCCCCGACGGTAGGAGCCACACGCCACACACACGAGCCCAGGCTTCAGGGCCAGGGCAGCTTGTCTGACCTCCAAGAAGAGAAAGAGGGATGAGGAATCAGAGATCAGCCTCTTCATACCCTTTCCATCAAGGCAGCAAAGGATCTTGTGCCTGCCTTGCAGCCTGCCCTGCATCTCCAGTGTCTCTACACAGAGCAGACCCTTGGCAGGCATGACAAGCTGCCCCACCATGGAGGCTGGCCTCCCGTCAGGAGCCACCTGAGCCACCGTGGCCTCCACTCAGTCCTGCAAGCACCCAGCAGACTGACACACAATACAGTGATCTACCCCATCAGTCACCAGTTCTTGGGGGCACTGGGCTGGAGCAGGGTTGGGAGAAGCAGGAAGATGCAGCCATGCTGAGGAGGTAAAGTACGGCACAACCTCTGGTTTCTCTGACAGCAGGAGAGCAGTTTTTTAGCTCTCCTGTAGGCCAGGAGGGTGAAGCTCACCAGCCCACAAGGAGAATCAGTTCAATTTGAGATGGTCACAGGTCCTGTTTCAGAAGCAAGGACAGGCTCATAAAGAGTCTTCCCAGCAGGACCCACGACAGCAGAAAATCTACAAGTGTCCCTTGGAGTCCCCTCCTGCCAGGAGCGCTGCCTTTGCAGGAGAGCTGGGCTTCCTGACCCAGAAAAAACACAAATGTCCCAGCAGACCAAACAGATGCCACCGTGTTGCTGCCAGCAATCACACACGTATAATCAGAACCTCTCCTAATACAGCCACCCCCAGGGTGGACCCCAGCTCCTGTTTTGTGCAGAAAGCGCTAATTCTGATGGCTTCATTCATTAAATGCTTAAGAAAGGCTCTGAAGACCTTGGACGGGAGTGAAGTATTATTGGTCTGATTGTGCCAATCACCCTGCTGGCAGCAAATAATTAGGGGCTCAGCAATTCCCAGTGACGAGGCCATCACAGAGGCTGGGGTTCAGGAAGGCAGTGTCCATGCCCACAGCCCCTTGTCCCTCTTGGGGATCATCCTTCATTAGCAAGAGATAAACCCATTAACCTTTGCCCCAGAGGTGCTCCAAGAAGCCACAAGCCTTTCTCATGCGGAGCAAGCCCTCCTCTGGTGTCCTTGCCCCCCTTCTGGCTTTAAATGAAGATTTCTAGAAAACTCCCAGCCCCACCCGAGAGCCTAAAAGCTCCTCAGATCTCACTGTGACAGGCAGCAGAGACAGTGACTAATCCCTCATTCTCTCTCCTGGGCCTGGATCAGAGGTGTGTGCGCATCTATGGAGGCAAGAGCAGTAATCCCATCAAGATAACAATAGACCCACCCCCAAGAGCCAGCTCCTCAACCCAGCCTGCCTGGGAAGGGGACCACTCACCACCAAAAAGGCTAATCCGGCACACGGGACTGACACCCCAGCAGGAGCCTGGCAGGAGTGTATTCTTCGTGGCCAGGCCCTGTGGCCGAGTGACAGGGTCACGCTGGCTGCTGCTTCCATGGTGACCAGAGAGCACAGGGGTAGCAATGACGGTGTGCCCCCTCGAGCTCTCTGCTCACATTAGGGTACACTGGCTTAGCACCCCAGGACCCCCGGTGTCACGGTGTACTAGAGCAAGCAGCACCCATCTGCAGCCTGCATCCCCCTTCGCTCCTGGCAAGGATATCCACGCTCTGCCTGCCCACTGACAGCCAGGTCACAGCGTGCTCACAGCTTCCTTTGGAGAAGCAGCATGAGGGAGACAGCTCACGGGCCTTGGCTGAAACCAAACCGAAGCCTTCCTACAGGACAAAGTAGGTGCCTTTTGTGTCCATGCCCGAAAAAGGGTCCCCCAAGCACTGGCCTGCTCAGAGGAGAGGCTGAAGAGCTCAGCCGCAAGGGGCATTCCCAGGGCAGCGCCAGCAGCGACCCCAGGGCGAGGCCCAGGGTGGGGCTACTCACGGTCTGTTCTATCTCCGCAGCCTCCTCCCGCGGCATGCGCTCCAGGAAATCCGCGTAGTGCTTCAGCCCCACGGCCTGCTGGCTGCTGAGCGTCGCCCTGCCGCGGACCTCGTCCAGCCAGCGTCCGGAAGCCCTAGCGCAGACCGCGCGGTGCCATTCACACGCCTGCCGAGGCTTTGCTCTTCCCACACCTCCACCACGACTCGGGGAGACTGTTCACCCCGCCTCGAGCCCAGGCCACTCACAGCTTCTGAGATCATGTGCAGAGAACACCCGGGGGCCTGGTTTCTAAAAGGGATTTAGGCAAGCCCACTACCCACACACACCTCTGATCTCCACCCCACAACGACTCTGAATCTTAACTAGACCTGACAGAAGGCTACTGTTTTTAAGGCTCTACATTCCTGCAGCTTGAAGGAAAACACATAAACACAGGTAAAGGAACACCACCCAGAATATCCCAAAGAGGGAAAGCCCACATGAACACAACCATATTTTTAAGACAGCAAAGAATCCAGTCACAAGCCAAGCACTACAGGAGACCAGGCTTCATTAGCTCTGTGCTCAGGAGACAAACTGGAAGGAACCCATCCCGTGGGCTGGGCTGCTCCTGTTGGCACAATTACTTCAACCTCATTTCTGCAACTTCCAGACGAGGTGGATGGCTGCTCTGACAACTACAGGAGCTAGCCAGGCCAACAGGCCAGTAACTGGAGGAGAAGCTTTCATGGCCAAGATGTTCTGGTTCAAGCCTGGCTCTTAGCAGTGCTCATTGCCATGAGCGGCATGAGATGAGCTCCATGCAGTGATGCTAACAGAAGAGGCACTGTGTCACTCACTCCTCCTATCACACACCTTTGTCCTCTGCCCCCACCTAAAATCATCTCAGCTGGGTGTACTCCATTCTCCACAAACATACCCCCAACGGGACCCAGCCTCACAGCTCCTCCCATAAAACCAGATTCAAATCTCACCTGTGGATACTGTCTGTAGGAAACTATTTGTGAAAGTAATTCTCCTACACTCAGCAGCTGGCCTCAAACTGTAGTGTGAGAACCTCTTGTCTGAGGCACTAAACTTACCTGCTGGTACCACATCTGAGCTGTCTTGACCCCTGCTCCCCAGATGTTGGAAAACAACTCCAGCACAGGCACACTCTCACTGATGTGATCCAGCTTGCGCAGGTGCCCACTCTCCAAGATCTCCAGGATCTTCTCTGCCATCCGCTTTCCAATCCCAGGGATTTTACAGGCTTCCTAGCAAGAAACCAGAGTTGAAGATTACAGACAAACTGGCGAGCTGCTACCCACTCAGAGCCTGGTTAGCCATTTGATCAGTGACTGTTAAGTGGCAGGACTAGTTCTGCCCAGTGGTCTCCTCTCTAGCCCAGGCTTACACAGGCTACGTTGATTCAATGTCAAGGGGAAAAGGACAAGTGTGCAGAACAGGACTGAAACACTAACACACTGCACAGCTGAGTTCTCACAGTCACTGAGACTCTGATCCAGTTAGTTTTATATATTATCTTGAATGGTGGCCAGTTGCTGGTTCGTAAGAAGAAGGTGAAAATGTCCCTGCATTGGGCATGGGGAAGGCATTTATCTTATGAGTGCTCAGATCTGGCCCTAAAAAGCTCGGACTTCACTTTTCTGCTGTTCTGAAAACACTGCAGGTAGTCAGTGAATCCCAGCTCCCACTTGCTATACAACTTCACCAAAGTCAGCACAGGAAGGAATTCCCAAGGCCTGATGATAAGCTATTCTGTGTACAGAAAGAGGAAGAGATCTGGCTTATAACATAGATAGGATGCTGGGTCTACCTCTCTGCTCCACCACCCTGGGAAGGAGCTTTACCTGGTAGGAGGTCACTGGTTTGTGATAGCTCTTGAGCGCATTGATGGCTTTGGCGTAGCCCAGAGCTCTCCATTTGTCCCCCTGGACAGAGTAGGCCTTTGCCAGCACTTCCAGCTTCTCTGTGATGCACTGGTTGTGATTCTCCTTCTTGCTGTTGGAGGACTGGGCACAAACCCACTTGCTGGCAGGTTGGGCCACTGCAGAAGAGCTGTCACTGGTCTCCTCTGATGATTTCACAGGGTAGCAGCCAGAAATCAATGCTTCCAGATCTCCCTGGGTGACAACAGAATCTTCTCCTTCACTATCTTCATCATCACAGTCTTTCTTTAGGGAGAAGCAGAAAAGCAGCCATGTGAGAATAAATACATGCTTCATACATGTCCCCCTGGCACAGGCTCCTCCCAAGAGTAGGAAGTCGGAGCACTAACGAACCTCCAGGGCATGCAGTGCTCAAACTGCCATCTCCAGAAGTGGTTGGCTATATGCACACCTTAGCTCTTCAGGCCTCATGCTGCTTATGCACCTCTTGAATCTATGAGAGCATCTCACAAAGCACAGGAAATTAGAGAGTGCCGTCCACCTGTGATCCAAGCACACGTACACCTCCTACAGCCAAGCCAGCAAGACCTAGCTGAGGTAAGACACTGGTTAAGTGAGCAGCTGCAGCCAGCAGCATGGTATCACAATGCTGAAGTCCCTGGCTGGGGGAGATCCTGCCTCACTACTCCCACAGGAGAACCTTTCACTGGTCTGGTGGCTGCAAAGACACATCTCTCACATTCAGACTGCACCTTCCACCTCACGATGCAGATGACAGGAGATAGGCACTGAACGCTGTCACAGGCACAAAATCTTAACAGGGTAGTAAATTACAATCCCCTCATTTTGCCCATGGCTATCTGCAAGAGAAAAGGGGGAGGAAGGAATGACACAAAGGACTCCGCATTCCTCAGTGACAGAAGAAAGAACCAATGTATACATTTGCTGATACCCTCAGCATTAGGATGCCTCTGTGTGGACTTAAGAAACAATGAGCCTTGGCTTCAGGTAACGAACAAAAGGGGATAGAAGTGGGAAGCCGCAGAGAGGCTTTGTAGACAGCTTTGCTCACTGGGTCCCCCTCTCTCCAGATGTATAAACACAGGAATCCATGAAGATCCAAGAGCTTCTGTGCTGTGGAAGTAACCCTGAGCAGCACAGGGCTGTTTGACATCAGCTCAGCAATTACATGTGGCACCCAAGTCCTGTTATGACTTTCTGCAGAGCATCAGCCTAATTCACTCAGAGCCATATCCTTACAACATCTGGTTTTGCTAGCCAAGGAGGTCTGGAGACACGATTCCAGCAAGATACAGAGCTGAAGTCTTCAGGCAGAAGAGGCAGGACGTTCCCCCTCTGTAATCTTGTGTTATAACTCTGAAAACTGGGTCGGACTGAGGATTCGATAGACTAAAGGAGTTTTGCTAGCTCTGAAATACAACCCTCTTAAGACACTGTTCCCTCTGAGTGTTCAATCTGAAGTTAGTAAACACCTTAAAATCATTTAAGGAGCATGTCATCCAGCCACAATGCAAACAACTCTGCAGCTGGAGTATGCAATTCCCACCCTCTCGCCCAGCAGTGGCACATAGGTGAAACAACACATAAACCCCCAGTTCTCCACACATCATCAGCAAACCTGAAGGACTCTTTACAACCATATGTACAAAACCAACCAGTCCCCTTAGACTGATCATCTAGTCCAACACCCCTGGATCATCTAGAGTACATCACCCAGGAATACATCCAGGCAGGCCTTGAAAGTCTCCAGAGATGGCGACTCCACCACCCCCCTGGGCAGCCCATTCCAGTGCTCTGTTACTCCCATCGTAAAGAAGTTCTTCCTTATCTTCAGGTTGAGCCTCTTGTTCACCAGCTTGTGACCATTGCCCCTAGTCCTGTCATCAGACACCACTGAGAAGAGCCTGGCCCCATCTTCTTGACACCCACCCTATAGATATTTATAAGCATTACTAAGATCCCCCCTCAGCCTCCTCTTCTCCAAGCTAAACATCCCCAGCTCCCTGAGCCTTTCCTCTTATGAGAAGTGTTCCAGGCCCTTGCTCATATTCATAGCCCTGTGCTTGACCCTCTTCAAAAGTTCTTTGTCCTTCTTGAACTGGGGAGCCCAGAACTGCACACAGTATTCCAGGTGGGGTCTCACCGGGGCAGAGTAGAGGGGGAGGATGACTTCCTTCAGCCTGTTGGCCACGTTCCTCTTAATGCAGCCCAGGATGCCAGTGGCCTTCTTGGCTGCAAGAGCACACTGCTGGCTCATGGTCATCCTGTTACCAGCTAGCACTGCTGGCTCATGGTCGTCCTGTTACCAGCTAGGACTCCCCAGGTCCTTTTCCCCAGAACTGCTCTCCAACAGATCAGCCCCCAGCCTGTACTGATGCATGCAGTTGTTCCTCCCCAGATGCAGGACTTTACACTTGCCTTTATTGGATTTCATTAAATTTCTCCCTGCCCAGCTCTCTAGCCTGTCCAGGTCCCTCTGGATAGCTGCACAGCCTTCTGGCCTGTATTTCAGCTTTACTGTTGTAGCTGGGTCTCAAGAGTGGTTGGTACTCCCTTTAAAGTTAATCTTGTGGGTCCTCCTCTCCTTCCCAGATTCACAGAGTCCTAAACCTGGGACAAGGGACTTTACTGAAGTGTCTACAAATATTGCTTTTGTGCACAGACTAACAGGAAATATCCTTGCTTGAGGGGATTTAAGAGAAAAAAAAAGGCTATAAGGCTTCAGACTCCAGCTGCTGTCTGACCACCCAAAGTAAACACAAGCAGAAAGCAGGGCAGATACCACAGAATCCATAACAGTACAAAAGATCCTTTTGCCTGTTAAGTGTGAGATGAGTTAATAGTGACCACTACTGAATCCGAGTTACAAGAAACAGTAAACATAGAGTAACTGCAAAGGCGATGCAGTTAAGAAGCAGCCACCCCTGCCTAGAGCATGCTGGATGGTAAGTCTGGAAGGAAAAGATCCCCCCACCCCTTATATTCAAGAGAAAGCCTAAAATAAAGGAGCCCTCAGTGGGCTGCCAGCTAGGGAGTGACTACAGGGGGCTGTGAAACAAAATTTGGGATTATGCTAGAAAATGGATGCCAGCGTTACAAGGCAGCTGCTGCTCTAAGAGGTTGGGTGTAACTCTGCTACAGATAGATTTGAATGATGCCAATACCCAAAAAGAACTCAACAAACTCAAGAAAAAACACAGAGAAAGGAAAGAAAGCTAACAGCAGGTCAGAGAAGCTGACTCACAGCAGAGGCCACTAGTCACCCAACACAGATATTTTAAGCACACAACCACAATCGTTCCACTGACAACTTGATCCACTGCACATGTGTCTGAACAGGGTGCTTGCCAAGGAGTGGAGAATGGGTCAGTATGGTTCAGGCAGGAACATGGGATGAAATATCAGAGACAGCTTCCTGAAAGGGAGATATTCTCAGCCAGGATATAGTCTTCAAAAGGACACAGAGGAAATGTGATCACCAGAGTGAGCCTTGGCCTGATCAGAGCAACAGGATTGCTTCAGCTAGAATTGTTCTGACAGGGACAGGAATTTAAAGGGCGTTGTTTCTGCTTTTAACACCTAAAAGGGACAAAGAGAAGCACTAGCCATGTCCACAGCCTAAGTCTGCTGGCACTGATCCACTGAAACAGCCAAACACCTTCCCTTTGCTGAGAAAATCTGGCATTGTATCCCTGCAGGGACGCTCTGATCCAGGAAAAGCAGCATGCAGGAGCTGTTCACAAAGAGAGGGCCTGTACAGAAAGCCTCACCTCAGCCAGGCGCTGCTGTCCAAGGGAGCCCAGGCCTTGCTGCAAGGAATCCTCCACCTCTGCTTCAGTACTTGGTTTCATTGCTCCCTCCTCTGCTGGGGGCTGGATCTCTTCACCATGCAGGACCTGCTGCTTCTGCTCTTTCTGCGGTTCTCCGGCCTCCAGGTACCTGCCGCGGATCAGATGCCTTAGCATAGGAGGAGGAGGACTCCTCAGCCCATGGAAGTTTGACTGAGAAATCCTTCTGCATGTTTTGGGAAGGAGCAAACAACCCATATAAATTATACTCTCTCAGATCACAGAGTAGTTACACAAGTTTTGGCTCAATTCCCCAATTTCCACCCACCTTGCTGACCTGCAACTTCCACTCCTATCTACCTCACTCTTAGACTCTTTCTTCAAAACTTTGCCAAAATATTTTGATCCTAGTCTGTGGCCACCTGCTACTCGATTCTTTATCTACTTTTGTGCCTAGTTGTCAATTCTCCCTCTACTTTTCATCTGCAATCAGTAAGAAACAGCATTTCCTCCCTAACACTATTTTTTTAATCTCCTTGTTAGCAGTGATGGATTAGGAAGGGGGACGTGTAGCTAACTCCTCCTGTCAAACCTCCTCTTAGCGCTTCTGGATTCTGAACCACGTTTTGTTACCCCACAAAATGTCAGCTGATCACAAAGTCACTAAATTTCACAATCTGTATGGGGAAAAGTGATTTCTGAGTCACACCCACAGAAGCTACAAGGAGCTGCAATCTGAGATTTTGAGCAGAGGTCAAATTTTAGTGCTGTGCAGTTTTGGATATAAGTACTGTAGGGCAGAAGGACAGCGTGGCATCTGCATACCTGCGAGGGATGAAGACACCATAGCCAGCAGTACTGAGCAGCTTCTGGTCTCTGATGCAAGCACTTAGCCAGGATGCCTTCACTAGCTGCAGCCCTGAAGGTAGCTTGGTGAATTTCAGGAGCCGAAAGGCCCGATCACAGTCCATGTCCTCAGCCACAATGACATGCGTCACCTCCGAGGAGAACTGTCTGTGTACAACGCCCCCATTCTGGACAATCTGCTTGTGGAAGATCTCTGCCCGGGCTTGGCCGATGCCAGCTTGCAACACGTATGCAGTGACTGGTTTCAGCCACCCTGCTGAGGAAAATACAGAGGATGGAGGTCAGTGACAGGGGAAACAGTGTCCCAAACCAGCTATGCTACATATCTCAAGTAGGACTTGATAGCACCAACAATGGCAGGCAGTCTTTCTGGGGCACCAGCTGGACACACCACAGCAACCTGGCCACGGTGTCTAGAGAAAACACATGTGGGGACCAGACATTCCAGCTGTTGGGAGAATGGCACCTCCAGCTTATCAAGCTGAGGTAGGAGCATTATGTTCAACATCGTAGGCATGCAGGACTTACCCCCAGGTAGGTCTGTTCCTTCTGATTTTGAGATCTTTGGGGGGATGCTTTTCCCTGGGTCATCCTTCACCTTCTTCCTCTTGGGAAAAGCTTTGACAATCCCTCCTGGCTCCATAGGCCTGATGGGAAGTTCAGCAGCAACTGCAGAATACCAGTAAAAAAAAGAGATACCGCTTACAACAGTGTTACACAATCACAACAACGTAAGATTCACTCATTTTGTTCACTAACTTTGTTGGTTTGGCATTTAGTTTTTTTTTTTGTTGTGATCTTCCAAAGACGGTTACCCCGAGGGAGGCACCTGGAAACAAGAATTTCAGCCCACAAGGTCAGAAAAATCCAAGTTAGAAAACACCAAAAAGCCACTCAGAAGACCTGCCTGAGCATTTTAGAAACTGCTAAACCCGAGCTCTTACATGAGAAAATATTCAACTACTTTAACATTTTGGAGCTCCTTCCTTCCCAGCCAACAGAATCAACTTTATTTCACAGAGTTTTCTTGAGCACATTCTCATGAAGAGGTAACATCTCTCCTGCCAGACTGAAATCCAACAAGATCCAATCCAGTCACCAACAAGAAGAGATAAAGCAGACGACCAACAACAAATGTTTTGTACAGCCACAGGAGGAAAAGCCCCAGCTCAGCTTCAGTTGAATACAGCAAATTAGTGAAGATTAACTACTCAAGTCCAGTACAGTAACAACTGTAGCCTTACCATCACAAACCTTGCAAAGGTGAACTCTGGAGCTTTAACTATCAGCCCAGACCACCTGGAAGTTCTGCTTTCCACCACAGCCCAGGCAAACACCCGAATCACCATATATCCCAACAGCCCCTTCCACTTGGCTGCAGCATTAAGCCAACACAAACTTGAAGGTTTCCCCTTTGTGCAGCACTTCATATTTTGCATGGAGGTTTCTTACACGTAAGCCAGTAATAAGCTTGGAAGAGCTGAAAATGGTCCCACCTGGCTGAGTAGAACTTCTCCCTGTGGTCACCTTCTCATCCAAGCACTAAACACAGTCCTGTTGAAGACCAGCCTGGAGCCAGACTCATGTCCTTGCTTCTGCAAGGAAGAGCTCAGTGTCAGGACAGAAGAAACACTGCCATGTTTCTAAAACTCAACTTCACAGAAATGTTTCTGTTCTCAGGACATTTTGACCAAAGAAAGCCTCTAGAAAGAGTAATACTTTCTCATACAAGGAAAACACCCACTGCATCAAAAACCACACCAAGCTTCTAGTTGCTTAACCTCTCTTCAAGACTCAAGAGTGTTTTTCCAGGGAGTATTTTAACTAGTCCAACCCGAACCTCATACACCAGGTACCAAGCTTGCCTTGCCAGCATCCTCAAGGCCGCGAAGGCTTCCAGGCCACCAAGACGGGAGGAAACGATTCCCCGAAACCTCGCGGCCGTG